CATAAAGGCCTGACATGCGGCACATATATTTCATGGTGCGTTATAGTGCCAGTTACATGTAATCACACAGGGCTTTCTGTGTGTGTGTGGCGCGATACAATCTGCGTGAGAAGACTGAAAAGAAAACCCTTTGTTTACAACCCTGCAGCTTGCATCGAAAAAAACAAAACCAAAACCAGACCTATCCAACCAGCAGTCATTAATACTGATCCTGGACGTAGAGAACAATTGGAAACAGTGACGCCGCATGTCACAATGTCACCTGTATGATCTTCAGTTGATATACAATCACGGTACGTATTATTAACAAGCAAAGAACGGACGTGATTTTTTTCCACTAATGAGAAAGCAGACAGCTCTTAATGAATGCGGTTTAATCGACACCCACACACTGACACTTTGCTACACATGCATTCATTATCTGTACACACACGCGTGCACACACAAGAGGAGTCATAGCAGCTTCACTGGAGGAAAGAGGGAGAATCATCCACCTCAGTGCGCGCAGATTAAAACACGACTGTAAACATCAAAGCGTACAAACAGAAAGAAGAAGCATCCAAGATTATCTCGGAGTGGTGAAGCAAACTAAGCCACGCACCATCCGCCGCTGCTCTCACAACTTCGCAGCACTAACTGAATCATTAAAAAAAAACCGAGCTAGCACCAGGGTGAGGCTGGCTGACAGAATCGGCTAAATGGAGAGGCACCGTGGAGAAAGACAACATTGAAAGAGGATTATAAGAGAGATGCTTAACCGAGCTGGAGATACGGTACACGTCCCTGTTAATAAACAAACATTGCATGGGAGTCACGCTTTGGAGCCTGCTGTGTGCTCAGGAGCTGTATTAAAAAGATAAGTCATTTAGTAAATAATCTATAATTATCTTCTAAATGTTGTTGTGATTTAAATGATTTAAATTTGTAGACGAGCTTATATTTTATTTAAATAGAAATCCGGGTTAGAAATGATTTTTAGAGTTTCATTTTCTTTAGCGTAATCAACTGTGTAACCTTTCAATAACTCTGAACGACACTCACACTACCTTACTGCATTTACATATAAAAAACACTGTGGATTGCGTTGTGTTGAAATGTGCTTCATAAACTAGCCTAACCTTGATACATATATTTTCTACTGTTGATACGTTTACATTAACTCTTCATATTGACCTTTTTATTTGAATATATTACATTTTTATCATATTTTAACTCATGTGTAATGGCTGTTAAAACGCTGTACATTTCCCAATATGAGACAACAAGCAGTAAATCTATTCTAATGTGGGAACCATGGTCTGGGAACAGTAGCCTGGCAGAGGCAGGTACACTGATAACACATCATGGCTAGTCAATTAGTCAATGCAAGCTGTGTGATTGCTTCTGTGTGGAAGGTTTCTCAATTCTCTAATTCACCTCCTCGACTCCTATCCTCGTGTCTTAGTCCCGCCCACAGGAGATGCGAGCAGAGGAGTCGAGGAGGGGAACCGAGGAGAGAGGAGGTGAAGCAGCAGGCGGTTAGAGAAATTAGAAATCCTCTCCTCTGAGCGGTCATTTTAAAGAGACGTCCATTAATGATGACCAGAGGCACAGCAGTCTGATGCCAGTGCGGTATAATGAGACAATAACAGGCTACAGATGCGGACATGTACACACACACACACATATATATTTGCGCTGAAATCCATTTCCGGGTCACTACCGGAGGACCGAGGATTCGAGGAGTCGAGGAGGGGAAATTAGAGAATTGAGAAACCTTGTGTGTGTGTGTGTGTGTGTGTGTGTGTGTGTGTGTGTGTGTGTGTGTGTGTGTGTGTGTGTGTGTGTGTGTGTGTGTGTGTGTGTGTGTGTGTGTGTGTGTGTGTGTGTGTGTGTGTGTGTGTGTGTGAATGTGGCATTGAACTCTGTTCGACCCTTTAGGTGCAAACTGTGATTACAAATCAAACTCTCCTCCCCGACCACCAAGTTCATCACAATCCCTGATTGCATCTTATTGTGTCTTCTCTTTGTATTTTAGCGAGTACAGTGTGGTTTGTCTGGGTGTCTTTGAGTGTAATGGGTGAGAAGGGGTTGCCAGGGACAACAGGCCAGTTGAGGAATGATCCGCCTCGACAAACACTGGTCGCGCCGGAGGGAGGTGGGCTCGGTCGGGATCTAATTACAGGTTCACACTCAGGGATGGGTGAAACATCACCTCCCCTAGTCCCTGTCTTAACCTGGACTTATGCTCACACACTATCAGCTGGACCGCACTTTCATTGCAGTTTTGTCCTTGAGTCCCGTCGTGTCCTCATGCTGCATTATATGTGTCCCTGAAGTTATTATTCAAAAAGAATAATAATGATTTTTGGCCACTTATTTTTTCTGACAGTAGATTGGTTTTGAAAACTGGTGCAGTATTGGAACAAGGAGACGACAATCTGCACCTCAATGATGGAAAAAAGGCAATCTACAGACTTGACTTCATGTTTCTTTGGCTGCGCTCCTAACAGACACGCCACTTACTGTTCTTCTGCTATATTTCAGCGAGCAACCTTATCTATATTCCCTTTCTGATAACATAGACTGAATTAAGCTTAATAAGGAACTATATCTACAATCTGCCGTGTGACACAAATAACTGCAGTGTAATTCTTAGGTTGCTAGCAATACTGATAACGCTAATTACCAAAAATATTAAGCATAATATGATTAATAGCTTAATTAGGTAGCATTTCAATGTGGATCACCACTAGTAAAGTACTATGACTACATTACATTTCTTATGAAGAACGTGTATTCTTCAGGTCACTCTCTTAGTCTTCTTATTCAGGCGGAAAGAGCCAACAATTTCATAAAGAAAATCACTGACATGCATGTGTGACTTCAGTACACGATTACACAGAGAGCTGTTCACTACTACTGATCAATCCTCTAAATCTCATATACAGTATGGTTCCTTTAAGGAGTATAAATGAAAGATTTGGGCTGATGAGTGCACCGGTGGCAGGATGTGAAAGGAGCTTTCTTACAAAGCTTAATGAAAGTGTGTTTGAACGAGACGATGTTTGTCGTTCTCTGGATTCATCGGCATAGGAGCCTCTTTTGAAGTGTTGAACAGCTCTGAATAATTCACCCCTCTCCGAATACAGGCGGATCTTTTAAACTATCATTTACATCGGTGAACTGGGTCTCGCCGAGTGACTGTTTAGAAACCACACACACACTCCCACTGTACACACAATGAGGTCATCTTCTGATTGTTTTTCATTGACTGGTTAGTTGATGAATGCACAAACAAGGAAATTAGCTTTCTGACGCAACAGGAAAGCTGGCAGTGACATCTAGAGCAGTGGTTCTCAAACTTTTTTCACTCATGTACCCCCTTTGAAAAAGAAATTCAGCCAAGTACCCCCTGATCAGCGCAAACACAATTTGTTATAGAAAAAATGCCTATATAAAGAGGTACAGTACAGCGCTGCACCATCGGTGTCTGATTTATTAAAACAACAACCTTGTAACTGAGAAACACTTAAATGCTACATTTCAAATGTTTACAATACATCACTAAATTCATGGCAAACCAATTTTAACATCATGCAATAACACTGAGACGACATTAGTTGCATTGAACTGATCTTTTTAATAAGTTGTACTTACAATTTAGTGAGAAACATGGGCTTGAGCTTCACTGAGGATCTTTGTCATTCTGACAGCGAGGCAAACTGCAGTTATTACACTTCGCGTTTTGAAATATGTGTAACTCTGTTAATATAAAACCCACACTGCTCAAACTTCGTTACTTTTCCTAAAATTTGAATATTTATTTATTTTGGGGCGTGGGGAATGAAGAGAAAAATATATATGAGCATTTTATGAGCATGGGATTTGGACTCCTCATAAAAACATTATGCATAATGCTGCGCTATACTTTGCGGCCACACGCCGGTGTCAAGCAACGCTTATTGTTTAGGTGTCCTTTGATAAGCAGGCTGCCAGGCAGTCATATAATGAACTAGAACTGAAGTAAACCGGATGCAAGAGAGAGATCAGAGAGCAGATCAGCTGCTGCTGACGGAGAACATGCAGCTCTGCATGATCACAGCTCCCCTGCTGTGACGGATCGTTGAGCCGAGCAAAATTAAATACACTAAGAGTTAGACCTAATACACTTAGCTAGTTATAAGTATATTGATTCTTTACTGTGTCGGGTCACTCATTACAGGTTCAGCGAGCTGCACGAGACTGACGGGCTGTCAGGAGAGGGAGAGGAAAAGAGAGCACCCCGTTTACTTTTCCCATTTTATTATCCAGAATTACTGTAAACCTTTGAATAAAGTAGTTCATCTACTTTTAGTAGTTTGTGTACAAATTAATGTTTTTTTTTTCATTAACATAAAATAAATCTCACGTACCCCCTGCAGTACTCCAACGTACCCCTAGGGGTCCGCGTACCCCCATTTGAGAACCACTGATCTAGAGCAGTGATTCTCAAATGGGGGTACGCGGACCCCTAGGGGTACGCTGGGGTACTGCAGGGGGTACGTGAGATTTTAAAAAAGTTAATAAAAAAAATACCATGCATGATTACAAAAATAATCTTAGTACAATAAGTTAAATAGAAAACACAATTTTCTATAAAATATTCCTAGAACCACCTCATATAAACATGTCAAATGTGTGTATTGTATAGTTTTGCATAATATATCATTTTGTTCATTGGTTTGTTAAACTTCAATTGAAAAACTCCTGTGTCCTGTTTTTTTCGTTATGTTATTATTTTTCATGCATAAAATGAAAATATCCTTAGTTTGTTGTAATGCATGAAGGAGTAAATAAATCACACACTGAGGGAACATCACTATATTGGAATTATTTGTATAGGGTTTTTCGATCAAAAATGTTCGGGGTCGGTCAGGGGGTACTTGGCTAAGAAAATGTTTCAAAGGGGGTACATTACTGAAAAAGGTTTGAGAACCACTGATCTAAAGGATCAACGCTAACATTAGAGAGTGACTTACCTGCTCATGTCCTCCTGAATATACAGTGAGAGCAGCTGTTTGGGGATGCTAAACGACAAGGTGCACTCCTCCATTTGTTCCCGCACCAGCATCCATTTGCTGTCCACTGTTTGAAATCTGTACACCTTGCATATTGGGTTCTTGAACACTAAGAGAGGGAGACACAGGAAGAGAAGAAAGGCATATTGAACTATCTGACAAATCATAAAATATATCGCGTTTTCATCAATGATAGTTCTTCTGACTATCCGAAGGTAAAACAGACGATCTAATACATCTTTGACAGCCGGCAACGTCAATGACCGACAGACAGAAAATCCTCAAAAGTCACATTTTAAGCATACATTTAAATCTATAATCAATACATGTGTCTGCCATAGATAAGGTGTTGCTCATCTTCCAATTCCTACTCTTTCCACTTCAGTGGCTGTTAATCTTTGCAATATTATTTCCCTCTTTGCTGGCTAACAGCAGCATCCAGCCCTCCCATTAAATACATACTCAGATGCAGCCCCATCTTCTTCATTTTTTTTCAAAATGGCTAATAGCAGCAATCGAAGGCTGAAACCCAAAACAGCTCTAATGCTCTTATCTGCATGCTAGCAGCAGAGGGCAAGAAAGCTGTCTGCCTTGAACAGTGTTTACCACTCCTTTCCGTTTCCACAGCTGCAGTCATAAAGGAAGTCACTCAATAAGTCGGAGCTGAAGCACCCGGGGTGAAACGTTGACAATCTTGCTCTAGGCAGTCAGACATGCGTGGCACCAGTCAAATGCTTTTTCACTTGAATTTAAAAGTCTGACTTCTGCTCCTGCTGACAGCACAGAGAAGTCTCCCCTCACCAAACCCTTCATACGGCACTGTGCCCTGATCTGACCTCAGATGGCCCTTTCTCTCAAAGTCATCTGTCTAAGTGCCCGAGTCAAAATAATCCTGCTGGGGCTACGTCATTTGTCCTCGAGTGTTTAAGTTCAGTGATGCCCTTCAATGCAGATGGGCTCGCAAAGGCGCACTGTAGTGAGAGTTCTTACAAAGCACGGGGATTTTAATATAAGATGCAATGTCATCATGAGTTATTTTGTTTTCTACATTTATTTTGGGCAAGCATTTGAAATCAAAACATAAACCTGGCTATGTGATCGTAAAAAGAAAAGTTGCCAACAAGAACAGATGTTAATTTGAATTGCAATGTATGAATCACTCTCTTTAGCATCAGCGAGCATGCTTCTCTGGCAATATTTAGTATTTTCCTTAACGTTAATAAATCCCATAAAACTAAAAATGTATCATACTAACAAATATTGTCCCTGTAGCCGACGCCTGATGTACAGCAGCATATTCCTGGTGCTTAAGGCATCAATAATTGCCCGTCAGACAAACACATACATTGGTGACATGTTTCTTCATTAATACGAGTGGTCACTGCATTTCATTTTCAGTCAGCCCTAGATAAATCGTTTTGGTGCATCGAATACTTGCTAGTGGAGCAAATGTGTATTAATCCACAGTTGAAAATAGTCCCCAATGAATTCATTATTTACTCGTGTTTGAGTGAGGTTCGCTACTACAGCACCAAGCTGTGATAAAGATATTTCAGACTTGTTTTTTGATAATTATATCTTCAGCAGGAAGGCATGGGCTTGGGGCCAGAGATGGGGTAAGGAAATTGGAAAGTATTGAAAGGCAAACTAATGAGTTGTTAGCCTTGGAGAGCCAGACCTTTCTCCACAGTGCTGATGGAAGGTCTGGTTTCACACTTTATCATTCTGGTTTATGGGACGAAATGCTCTGGCTAGTTTATATTGCATGGACCCAATCACTTTTTATTTGGGGCGATGAGAAGCACAGGATGCATGGACAGTATATTTTCAAACGTTAACACGCGCATAGTGGAGGAGGGGGTGAATGTCACATGACCAAAGTGGCCAAAGGCAGGCTTATAACCACTGTATTTAGTCAATTATTTGGATTTGTTAACATGAGGTACCATGTAGTGTTATTGCAGACTTCTAAAGTTACAAATGATGCACCTGACGAGATTTAATTTGGACAACTAATAGCCATAGACAATAACCGTGATGAGCATCTTATGTCATTACTAAGGCTGTGTGGCAGAATTCTAACCACTTAACGACACTTATCCATGAAAAAAACATTTATTTCACTCAAGAGACACATGTTCACATCAAATCAGCAACAATATTTCAATTTTTTTAAAAGATATTTGTTAAAAAGGCTTGATTTAACTTAATTTATATTAGTTTGCAAACATTATGTATGGATATACTATGTACCCAAGACACATACATTTAGAGCTCCACTGAAGGACAATAGCCATTAGCCAAATAGACTATAGAGAGGCTTATTATTTATTTCTGCACTGCTGAAGTTGATGTTGAAATTAATGATGATTAAGGTTAAGCTTGGCCCTGGAATCACCCCAGAAAGGATTCATAATTGCATCTAGATGACATGGTATACTCAGGCATTGTTGGCAAGGGGATTAGGGAAAGTGAAATGGATGACAAAAATAAATGGGAACAAGGAGACACATGGAGAGAAGGGGGTGAAGGCCCAACCCTTAATCAGACGAGCGACAGTTGCTGACTTGTACCGCCGTCAGAGAGGAAGATTAACCCCTGAACTCCCCCCTGCCATCACACTAATCTGAGCACCAATCAGGCGCCTCTGTTTCCCTTCCCGACACCTCTTAAGAAAATGACTTCCCGAGATGTGCTGTGCGTGGGTTCCCCCCCCCTCCCCGCTCTCTGCATGCTCATTTCAGAAGGTAATAAAAAGCGGAAGAGCAAATTGCATTACTCAATCTCCCGGGGTCTGCAGGGAAGGTGTTGTTTTGACGCGCTGCAGATGTACACCTGCAAACACGGCTGCACTTCACTAGCTAATGGCCACAGAAATAGTAAGCGACAATGACACCATGACAACAGGCGTAAGGCTGCCGGGGAGAGTGGGGAGCTGCCGGAAATCTGGATAAAATAGGAAATGGATCTGTGGAACACTTTAATGCATGGGAGGAAAAAAGGAAACTCCTCAGCAGGAGTTTGACCTTTTCAAGTCAAACCCTTTTCTGTCTGCATGTCTCTCATTTTCTCCGTAGAATTCGCTCCTTCTCTGCCAGTGAGATTTCTAGCTTTCTGGGTTGCCATGAAATTCATCTCCCGCAACTAGAATTGCTTCCTTTTCTCTTTCGGTTAGAACCAACCTTTGTCTCACACTATACTTTCTTGCTACTAAAAGCATGGATGAAATATACATCCCACAACAAAATAGGATACTTACAGTAAAGGATCATGCAAATGGTAAAAGGCAGTTCAAGGTCAATTTGAAACATAACAACATTATATAGACTTTTTTTGGTTTTCTCTTTCCTGTAAGGTGTTACATTGGTTGTTGTTGTGCTTGTAAATGGTCTGCAGAGAGAACTAGCCAAAGCTTCATTAAAATAACATCTATAGGGAATTATTTCAAGCTTTCCTTTGAGGGCAATACAGGGTGGGTTATTCATTTTGGGTAAAACAAAAAAGAGTAGAAAGAAAGGAACTTCAGAGAACACATATACTTATTTTCTTTGGTTGCCATGTTATTTAGCAATGAATTACACATTACAGGCGTTCAAATGTGATTCTTACCTGGACCTGTCAGTGGGTTATTGTCTCTGTCGATGCAGGAATGGGACGCAGACTCACAAACCAAGGGACACTGGGAAGAAAAAGAACATACATTATTATTAGGGCCGGGACTTTAACGCGTTAATTAAGATTAATTAATTACACAAAAATTAACGCGTTAAAAAAATTAACGCATTTTAATCGCACTTATTTTTGCACCGCGGAACGTTTCTCACTGGATGAGTTTCAGGCGTACCGATTATACTGGAGCACCAACTAACGTTCATGACTTCAGACAACAACAAACCACAGTGAACAACAGTGGGAAATGTTGTTTTAAAAAACGGACGGATGGAAGCGTCGATAAGAGCACGGTTGTGTGCAAATTATGCAAAAAGGAATTCGCATATCACCGCAGCACATCAAGCCTCAAGTATCACCTCAATGCAAAAACATATAGCAGCTAGCGTGGAAGCTAGCGTGGACGTTAGCCTCTTTTATCGCGTTCACACCAAAAAGAGCCGGTACTAAAAATTAGTTCATGAGAACCTTTTTACCCCCACGAAAGTCCCTGCTAGAGAGCAGAGAGCTGCTAGAGAGCAGGGACTTTCGCACGGCTCTCTTGTGAGAAAAGAGCTATATTTCTGATTGGCTGGGCGGATTGCAAACCACGCCCCGTAAAACTCCCAAAAAGTTTTGTGAAGCCGCCATTTTATTATCCTCGCATTAGCATTATTAGCATTAGCCCAGCGCAGAAACGCAGAGAGACTAATTTATGGCAACACAAAATAAAACATGGGAGCGGTGGAGATGAGGAGGTGTCGGCGTTCTGGCGATTTACTCGGAAGGCTGCTGGGACTCCCAGCAGCTTCTACTGAAGCCAGTCCCCAACTCCGGGGACTTCCGGCCGGGGACTTTGGGCGGCAGTATACGCCGTGAAGTGGTTTGCGGCCTGCCAGTAAACCCAAAGCAGAAGAAGAAGAAGTGACGTCAGCGGCTTCATTTGCCTAATCCTCCCCCAGGTTCAAAGAGTTCTCATGAACTAAATTCTCATGAACCTTTGTGGGAAAAGTACTGCGGTGTGAATGCGTCTAATGGTATACTAAAATCCATGTGAAAAAAAATTGCTTCTCACTGTTCTTAGGTCAAATATGTATATGCGATTAAAAATGCGATTAATTTCGATTAATTAATTACAAAGCCTCTAATTAATTAGATTAATTTTTTTAATCGAGTCCCGGCCCTAATTATTATAATATATTAATCAAATCTAATAATGGTATTTTTCTGAGGACCAGAAAGGCTTTAATCATGATAATGACTAATGAAGTACAATGACCAAACCCATAAGCCAAGTAGCCATGAACAATAATTCACAGCTCACTGAGAGTTAAAGTATTCAATACCAGTACAGTAGATGACAAACATACACTCTAAACATGTATGTGGATATATGTGTGGAATTTTAACATATATGGATTTTATAAACAGCTACAGATATAATGCATTAATGGTTTCATGTGAAAATGAAAATTATCTTTGCTTTGCATTACTACAATAAAGCCATTTCATCTCAATGAAACTGCTGTATGCGGATTACAAACACCACATTTAAAGACTAAGGAACCACACAGATCAAACACCTGCTTTCTATTCTCCTTCAAATGTTAGCGTGTTGCACTTCTGCCTTCACCGCAATCAGTGATGTCGCAGCAGGTGACAGCTGAAGGAAAACACACAGCTGTGATTCACAGACTGGGTAGCGGCGGGTTACGAATGTATTTCCTCTGCTGCCATTTCAGTCCATCAACTCATCAAATTGTTGTTTCATCCTGTGACAGCACATATCAACTGATTGCCAGTGCAGTATACTTCTCATATAGAACAACAACATGTCCATAACAAATGAGATAATAAAAATACAAAATTAAGTGTCTTGTCCGCTGGATTTACCTCACTTCACTAATACGCATGGGGAGCGACACAGTTGAAATCTTCAATCAAAATGTGTTACTTGGCAACAGAGCAATTATCTTTAATGGGGTTCTTTCAGTGAACCTACAATGGAGATGGAATTTAGGAAATAAAATAGGCACCTCTACTTCTCTTCATATAATGAAATGTTCTAGTCCAAACCCACTCTAACTGTCAACCCTTCATTCTCACACTTGACACATATACAGTTAGCAATTATAACAGTGACAGATTTCCATTCAAAATGTTTCCTATTTTGAATAATGAGAAGCTCCTTATTTCTACTTGGCAATCGGTTTCTTTATTTTTTCTGATTTTGCCTGCAGAAATAATAAATCTCTTGCATGTGTATCAGCTGGAGCTAGCTAATAAGGCTAATATCAGCTCCATGAGTTATCATACCTGGTTGACTTTGTTAAGTTTCCAGTAGACTTTTTTTAAATGCAGAATCTAAAGAAAAAGGGGCTTCACATGCATTACGTTACATACATCATATTTTGGGAATTTTCCTCAGTCCAGCTCTTACATCCAGACAGTTATCCCATTTATACTTTCAAACATAAGTACCACAATAAAGTCCTTAAGTGCTTTGTGACACACTCCAGAGCAGCATAACCTCCTCAGTAAAACTAAACTTTTCTAAGCTGGTGCAGACAGTGAAGCCTCTCGTAAGGCTTGTTAATTATGGCTTGTGTTGGCCGTCCACTTCAGAGTGTGGCATACGGTGGTGCCAAGGACTGTAAAAGGGTAGAGCAGCATCCTCTTGTTCTTTCATTTATTTATTTTTTTGTCAATTTATTGAACATGTCAGAAACAAAAACAACAATAATATATATATTCTCTTTTTTCCTTTTTTTTCTCACTCAAATTAATAATTATAACAAAGTACAAAAAAACAAAAACATAAATAAAAAAAAACAATAATAATTCTCAAATAGTCTCTGTCATGTTCAACAGGGGCAAGAAGAAGCTTAAACAAGCTTTTCTGGTCCTACCCCCTCTAGCATATATTTTTCTTCTAAATAAAATATTAGGTCATCGTCATCAGCGACATGTTTGTCTTGTTAATTTGTTTGCTTTTTGTTTTTTTACAAAACAATCAGAAAGAAATTACTTTTACAATTACAAGAAATAACAAAAAATTGAATTTTACAGGTCCTGTTCATAATCATTAATGATTTGGCTCCTAAATAATACTTTCAGTTTAGACTTGTACAATATTTCAGTGCATCATTACAGTTATTCCACAGACTAACACCTTTTGATGAGATGCAATGAAGTTTGGCATTTGTTCGTACGGGTGGTTTTTTGAAAATGGTAAGCCAGGTCAAATTATAGATAAATTAAGCTCATTTCTTTCTCGCATACATTTTTTTATTTGAATAAAACAGGGTGGTTTACGATTTCTTGTTACAGAAGAATACAAAGGGCTAACCAATGTGTTTGGCAAAGGTGTCACTATTTTTGGGTTATAGTAGTTGAGTTTAAACTTCTCCAAAAGGAAAAAGAGAAAGGGAGAAGGAGTTTCTAGTGTTACAATACACTGTTTCAGCATCTAAAATTACTTTCACACATTAGAGAAATACTGCAGAGAAGATGTGTTAGTTCTTTTTTAACTGCAACCTAACAAACACATTTCATTTCTCAGCTGTTGAAGTGACACTGGGTTACCACTGTAAGCTAATGTGCCAGAGATGCTAACGATTGCACCTTATAAGTTAGAGCAGGTGCATTAATTCTAGTGGATTTACTGTTGTTGCGATATCCCTTTTATATGGCATAGTGTGTTAAGTACACAAAAGTGCACAACTATACCTTTCCATCCTGACACAGCTTCTCATAAAACTCAAATATGTCCATGTAACAACTGCTAGGCCTTTGATGCTAAAAGCTTTCGATGCCTGTTGATGCATTAAGTCTGGGACTCATCATCAAAGCAATGCTGACAACTAACCATTTTTTTAGCTCGCTGTCTGTCAGCTCTGCCCTGTTTGATGAACCATTTAACACGGCTAGACAGCCCAACCTGTTCCCAGAAAATGACTTTAATGACTGCTAGGAACTATCCATCACTGAGAAACTGATCCTGAATAAAAAAGACACCAACAGCCAAGCTCACACAAACACGAAAATCCAAAATAAAATATGTCTGTTGAACAAATCAGACAACCTGGGAATATCAGTAAGCATACAAGAAGGACATCTGATGATAAAAAGTATGAACAATGAGCCAAGGATCACAGCTGTAGAAGGAGTCTCATTTTAATTGAAGGCAGCGAACGGCGTGTGTTCGATGGCGCTTTGATGACTAAAATATGTAAAGAGATCAGATCAAAGGTGATTGGAGCCTCTTTCTTGTTTCGGCTGACTGTTTTTAAGCTGTTCATGGGATATTCATGAGTAGCAGCGACTCAAGCAATGACAGGGAATGATCAAACAAGTGCTTTAAGCCCCTGGAAGAAAAACACACAAACATACGGGACATTCAGGCAGCAGGTCACACATACTGCTAAGGTAAATTGAACAACAACTTCCCCACAAGTGAGTCTTGAGTCTCAAGTGAGCCCCCCTTAATGTCTGTCATACCCCTTCCCTCTGTGCTGCCCTCATCTTCTACACAACACACAATAGGAAACATGCGTTGACAACACACGCGCACACACACAGACAGACAGACAGACAGACAGACAGACAGACAGACAGACAGACAGACAGACAGACAGACAGACAGACGCCCGCACGCACGCACGCACACACACACACACACACATGCAGGACAACACATTCATCAAGGCGACATGGGCAGATTGTCAGTGACACTCTGGAGCCTAGCAGGGAACCACCCTGCACCAGCATCTTGGGGGGGGGCAGAACCAAAGCCAGTCAGCCATGTAGAAGCCCTTGGTCAATTATATAAGACAGTGAGTCATACACACAACACACACAACAGCAAATCAAAAGCAGACATGGACTACTAAGTTTCCCGACTGCCTTGCAGGGCTGTGCTGCAAAACGTTGAGTGTTCTCCTTTAAAGATCAGAAACATCATTAAAGCTCCTTCTTTACTTTTTAATACCCGGCTCTTGACAAATGTTCAACAAATCAGGCTCCATTAGGAGTGGACGGAAACAAATTAAGTGAAATCAGAGTACATACAACTTCATTTCTGGTGAGGTGGCAGCCCATTCGGAAGACACAATCCTCAGCTTGCTGTCAAACTCTGAAGGAAAATACTCTTTCTTCCTCGTTCTCTCGCCTGATTATGTGAGTCACTCCAGAGCCGGGTTAAGCGGTATTGTATGAGATTAGAGTGGAGACGGGGGCGGCAGAGCAGCAAAAAAGCCACATTGAAGAAGCATCTGCCACTTGGTGAGATGAAGGAAGGCTGCAGGCCTGGCGACACAATCCCACACAAACAGGGTCAAGTGTATGAATGTCGGCATGCTAATTTGGTCAGTCTCTATATAATCTATTCTATGAATGACAGAGAAACAACATAGACAGACATCACACACACACACCCCTCTAAATCCCTATTAGGGTTTACTGAAGTTTATTTAATCTCATTGGAGGACTTGAGCAGTGCCAGTCTAATCCTAGCTTTAGCGCTAGGCATCTGCAGCACGGAGACTCCTGCTTTGTGTCTTCACTCTGATATTCTACCTTGTGTGACGGTAACTCGGTGGTGATGTGGTCCAAGTCCACCTCCTCCATCTCCCCCATCTTCAAACGACTCACCACCACTGTTCCTGCTGCGCACACACCATCAGATGACCTAGAGGGAGACAGCAAGAGGGAATTGAGTTACATTTAATCTGTAAATAAAAAGTATGTTCAGTTAAATGATCTTTTCCTCAAGCTACTTCCCCTCCAATGGCCTGAAAACGATACATCTCCATGTTGGGCCCTCTAAATCTCCAAATCGAATGAGCTTACTCTGAGCAGCACACAGGTTGTGGAGTTAACGCTGGAATCGGGACATAGATGCTTTTACTGCGGCAATTTCTTTCACCGACAGATTTTGCAGAAGAGTGTGCAAGTAGAATAAACCCGAGCCTGCTCCAGCGGGGAAGTTGGCGGGTTGAGGGAAGGCACATTTTGTATAACTGCTCAAATGGCCGTTTAATAACCTCGGCTGTGTGCCATGACAGACGTGAAATTGATACTAGAGTTTCCATATCAGAGACCAATCACGTAGCCAATCATGGACCCATGATTAAGGAGCTGATAGAAAATCTATATTATTGGCAGTAAGACAGATGCTCTCAAATGAAGAAAAATGGTCCCTGGGCATCGCACAAGCAAGTCTGATCACCTAAGCAGACCCATCTCTAATGCACTCAGTTCCACTCCAGCTGGAGAACATATTGGATGTTGTGTGCCAGCCAGAGGTCTGGGGACACAGCGGGGGAAATGACACACCCCTGAGTAAAAAGGGAAAAACACAAGAAGGGTGATGGGAGCAAAAAATATGCTTTCAAGGCCGATCCATCTTGATCGGACACGAGGGGGAGAATATAATCGCGCCCAGGGGAAAAGAGGATAGGGAAGAAGCGAGTTGGAGGAGGATGAGGGGTAGGGACGAATGCGAGGGAATACAGTGGAGGATGTTTTTGATTCCAATGAGGGACAAGTGTCTCTGCGGTGGGACACTGGGAGCTTCAGTTAGCGCTTAATGTCTTCTAGCAGTCCCCGAGCAGAGAAAATAACATTGCTTGGTTTATAAATCTAATCATCGTCCCTTGCCAAACACCTGTCTCAGTGTTTACTCCACTGCTCATCTTTCTGTGTCCTCATCCTCTCTCTCTCCCTCTCTGTGCAACAGAGGAGAGCAGCGCGGTGGAAGAAAGTCACCCTGACTTTGAACAAACAGCGCGTAATGACAGTGGGCCGCACATAATCGAGGAGATGGAGATTAACATGCATCACATTCAGTGATTGTCGCCCCTATCCAAACCTCAGGGGTTACAGTGGCCCCTTCTACTCTTTAGATTGCTCTGCCTCAATCCACTAATAAAACTCTCAGTTTAAACAGCCAGGGGAGGCTTTGTTAGGACTGCTTTAAGATAATTGATGTATGCCTCTGAGAGATGTACAGTATATATTGGGATTATTTTGATTTGCAGCCAAACGTAAACTCAGCACCTGTTCAAATACAACCCTTATACATTATTGTCTGTGAGGGAAATAACTCTTCAGCAGCTCACTCTGGAGATTTGATTAAGCTCCTGTGCAGCATTGCTGGTTTATTCTACAAATTCTACAAAGTCAAGCAAAGAAAAGGGCATAGACATTAACTTCCTGACTGAGTGTATTCGGCAGTGACACAAACCTTATTTTTTTGGAAACAGAAGTATTTTATCATGCACAACTGACCCCAAATTAGCTTTGAAGATTCTGTGGAGAGCTGTGAATTAAAGGAAGCGTGTCTCCCCCCACCCTCACCCTTCACCTCCCCTTCACCTCCGCCCATCTCTTTCTGTCTGTTGGAGCTGGCAACGAAACAATTCTGCCTGCAAGCCCATCTTTTTTTTCTTCTATCTAATTGGCCCAGGATCTCTTTTATGACAACACTTAATCAGACGACTTTGTTAGAGTGACACAAGTAATGTGCTTAAAATGGCTGCTAAGAAATTGGCACAATTCAAAAGATAATTAGTTATCAGGAAAGAGCATTACATTTAACAGTTATTTTCTTTTGAAAGCCTCCCTTGCAATTCACAAACACATTTTCCAATGAAGTAACATATAGTGGGATTAGCTTTAAAAAACGATCTGTACCCTGCTGGTCTGACAGGCTCCTGATCTATGAGCCATATGCGTTGTGTGCGTATAAATATCATAGAACAACTGCTCCATTAAGAGGCAATAAATCATGTCTATAAAATAAAAGTATCCTGCTGTGTGTCAACTCTTCAATTACCTCTTCTCAGAAATAACAACACTCCCGATAACAATCCGGAAGACAACATAATGACGTTGAGTTGAAACATGACTTACTTCTTGCTAAGTTCAAAAAGTAAGGAGGTCCTTTGTTTAATAAATGTAATACACAAGCTGAAATTGCCCAATAAACATATACAGCACTGGCTATTGAAAGAGAAGACAACAGGTAATTAATCGAGGTGACACCTTGAGAGTTCGTCAATGAATAACGTCCCGCTGCGGTTCTTGGTCGAAAGAAATCTGACAACTCGTACAATGACTTTAATCAATTAAATGATACCCTGAAGGAGAATGTCCCTAATTTAAAAATTAAAAAAGGTACCCAGAGATTAGAGGAAATTCAATATTTATAAGACTAATTAGCTTTCCAAAACCACCACACTTGGCAAACAAAAACAAAATAATGGTTCCAGTTTGAGTTAATATATTCAGCTTCCTTTTCAATGAGAAATAAACAGGGTACCACTGGATTTTCATTGTATTAGCAGGACCATTATTAGCCCGTTCCCCTGCTACTGTAAACACTATAATTACTTCTGTTTGGTGGTTAGAAAGCCCATACAGATGGTGAACGCAATTATTTGTGATTCTATTCCTTGTTGAAATGAGCAGGCATACAGCGGTTTAATAGCATGGCCAAATGTTTTGTTTTGTTATGAGTTTTTTTAGTGAACAGTGCACAGTCAACATCAACGTTTTATGAAACACAGAGATGTGATGTACTGGGATTTAGCAAATGTCTATTTTCAGCCTAAATAAGAAAATATAAAATGTCATGTTCGAAGTAAATTTGGAGATACATTAGGGGTGCCCACACTTTTTTGACTGGTGAGCTACTTTTGAAATGACCAGCTCACCGAGGTCTACCAACCAAAAATAAAATCCCAAATTGCAAGGGTTGCTGAATAACACGTTTTATTTATACATGGGATAACTACAATAGGGCTGCAACAAACAACTAATTTGATAATCGATTAATCTATCGATTAATCGACTATTCGGACTATTACTGTATGCCTTGCACAATTTCTCAAACCCTCTTATTTAGCCATCAACTTTTAGATTTAGCTTGAGGTTGTTTTAGGCATGTGGAAACTAACAATGAAGACAATACAGATGAATACTTGATTCAAAAATACATATATTATTCAATTAACATTGCTTTTTATTTAAATTAAATAAATAATATTTTACATCAAAAGAAACAACAGTGTTTTAACAAATCGTATTAAATAATCTGATGACAGAACTGTAAACAGAATAGCTGAAACTTTAACAAACTAAATACCTCAGTTACCTCTAATCATTAACCCATGTTTGTATAATGTAGTTAACTCCGTGTGTTGCTGCTAGCATACATAACACCTGACGTGGAAACGTTACTCGTGGATGGGGATAGAGAGCTGCTAGAAAGACGGTCGAACCCGGTGCATTCCTCCGTCTGAATGTGGAGCACTTTTGATAAATGTTTAGACACATTGCTCGTGTTACCGCCCTTACATGCTAAACACTCTTGGCAAGGAGCATTGTCCACCTCAAGACGGGTAACATTTAACCACACCTTGGAGCGCTTCTCTCCGCCATCTCCTCCGTGTGTTGCTGCATGTAGCAGCTGCGTGTGTGTAAACTGCCCCGCCCCCTCGCACACAGACCGGGGAGAGAGAGATCTCGTCTCGATTGGAAAGATCACAAATACACCGACCATAGACGCATTTGTTTGTCTTTTTGCATATTAGAAACGAGTTGGCGACACTAAGACTGCGACATCATGTTTGTGTAGCAATAATACATGACCTTTCTCTTTCTCAACTCGCTACTCGGAGGGAAGTCGCTGTCATATGCCTTGTGAACACTCCGATAATGCCTCTCCACGTTACCTTTCTTTCAGAGCGACGCTTGCTTTACAAATAAGGCAAATAACCTTTGAATGTGACAAAATATTCTTCCTCCCATTCTGGGTGGAAGTGGTATGTTTTTAGCTTTTTGCTCGGTCCCGCACTCATTTTGTTGTTTGTCTCTTTAACTTGACTGATTTTATATCGCTTTGCATTCTGGGTTAACAGACTGGAAAGCGATAGGTCGCTTTTTCTGTCAATCAAGTAAACTCCTGAATTAAGTGGCAGGGAGGCCAAGGGAGGAGGGATCAAAAACCTGTTTTGTCTATTTTAACGGAGCTGGATTTTTTTTTTTATGAATGACTCGCGATCTACCAGCATTGCCCCCGCGGTCGACCGTCGACGTACTGGGCACCTCTGATTTGATGGTTGCTTTGTCTTGGTTTGTAGATTCAACCTTATATTTCTTATTGCACAACTTTTTTGTGCTCTGAATATAGTGAAAGTGGTACAGCTCTGGAACTAATTATGTTGATGACAATGTGCATGTCATTAAAGATAGTCAAATGGACAGAAACAGACAACTAGAGGAGTAAAAGTGGCCAACCAATGTTCTCTTTCTGCTGCCTTGTGAACCTACATAAGGGAGGTTCACACAGGGAAGGACACTTGTAATATATTTTCAAAGGCCTGAATCAAAACAGACCTTGGTGGGAGAAGTTCATCAACAAAAACTTCAAAGCAGCATTATTTCTATGGCCGTCAGGTGCTATTCTCAGTGGGAAGCCTCTCAGAGGAAAATACCTGACAGCCACGGAAATCGACCAAAACACCACCGGCTTCCCCCCGCTTAACTGTAGGGAAGTCAAAAACACACAGCAAGACCTGGACAAGCTATGTTGTTCCTTTTCTGTGGATATTTCCCACAGAGGATCTAGTCCTTCAGGACACCTTGAAACGGTGCATTGCCTCTGGAGGAGGAGTGGTCTGAGAA